TAACTTAACAACTGCAGTGATTCACTTAACAAATGTGGCAAGAAAAGTAAAATAGGGCAAAATTAGTAAAATGGATTGCAAAATTAAAATAGAGCAACATTCACTTAACAAATGTTTCACTTAACAACAAAAGTTTGGGGCTCAATTTTGGTCATAAATCAAGGATTACCTGTATAAAACTATAAAAAGTTTCATCCAGGAATACAAGACAAAGAAAATAAATCGTTAACCATTAAGAGGAATTCAGGATGATCTTTGTAAACACAAAAGCCTATATAATGTTAATTTCAAAAGAGAAATACATTCTACTAATATTTCTTTTTATAAGCAAATGTTCCAAAGCCAGATCCACCATACAAAACAATAAATGCAACAGTTTCCCAGTTCGCTTTACTATTATGAAGCAGACCACTTAGAATTCTGTTAATTTTCCTTACCTGTGCTTTTATTCTTCAGCTTCAGATAAAGAAATAACTCCTTTGTTTGATCTTGCTGAGAGAAAGAAAGAATAGTAACAAAAAATGCCCTGATCCCTTTTTAAAAAAACCTTTCCTTCGTTTAACCACACCCCATTAAATGCATATTATAATCACTATCCAATCGCCTGCTCCAACTTTTCAGCATCATCTCATGTGTCCTTCGCTGGATTGGTGCAGCTGCCTCAAACCAGCTAAGCTGATTTCAGTAGCCATGGCAACAACCACTCAGTGAATATTATGAAAAAGGAGGAGAATTCACTGAACTTTTACTAATCCTTGATCAAGCAGAATGTATGAATTTGAAAACCGAGTTAAAAGAAAAATTATTTGCCTCCAAATAATAGCTTCCTCATGCTTTTTATTCCATTTAAACATCTTTTCTATATATTTACCCAAACATTTTGCTGCTTCTGAAGTTCCACAGTGGAACATCTGTTTTGGAGAAATTATGGGTTAAATGGAATTAGTATCAGCAACTTATACGATTGTTTGAATGGTCTGTTTTGGAAATATAACAGAAGATCACTAAAAATGTAGGATTGGATTCATATTATCCTAAAGTCAAATTTCAACCACGCATAATAAAAATTGAGAACTTCAATTTCCAGAGTTAACTAAAGAACTATGGCATGAAACAGAAGAATAAAACTGGATTTGATGATATGTATAGTTTGTCAATATATGAGTAGAAGGGAGCTAACAAATCGGCAAAAAAGCTTTTAAGCAATATATTTGTGAGATTCTCAGTCATCCAGGTCACAGTTTTCTCAAAAGTGCTTTTTCAAAAGGTAACTGGAAGGAGGGGACGGAAGGGGGGAAAGAGGATTGTATCTCTTTGCAGTTATCTAGATGCTGGCACTCTCGCTGAGATGTATTGGGGCTACTTGAGAGTTAACTTTTTAATATATTTTTATAAAAATATAATATTTAAATATATTACCATGTATATGTATGTATGTATGTGTGTGTATGTATGTGTGTATATATGTATATGTATGTGTGTGTATGTATGTGTGTGTATGTATATATATAGTCTCCCTTTATTTATTTATCAGCACAAATACTATATATACATACATACATACATACATACATACATACATACATACATACATACATACATACATA